CCAGGCCGGAGGGCGGTGCCGGCGCGGCAGCCCCGGGACCGGCGGGGCCGGCACTGCCCGAGGGGGCCCGGTCCGGGCCAGGCCGGAGGGCGGTGCCGGCGCGGCAGCCCCGGGACCGGCGGGGCCGGCACTGCCCGAGGGGGCCCGGTCCGGGCCAGGCCGGAGGGCGGTGCCGGCGCGGCAGCCCCGGGACCGGCGGGGCCGGCACTGCCCGAGGGGGCCCGGTCCGGGCCAGGCCGGAGGGCGGTGCCGGCGCGGCAGCCCCGGGACCGGCGGGGCCGGCACTGCCCGAGGGGGCCCGGTCCGGGCCAGGCCGGAGGGCGGTGCCGGCGCGGCAGCCCCGGGACCGGCGGGCCCGACTCGGCTCCGCGGACGCTCCCGCAGGATTACGGCGGGCGCACAGCGCCGCCTGGCGGTCGGCCACGGCCCTGCGCGGCCCCGCGGGCGGCGAATGATGCAACACCCGGGTCCGGTTGCCCCAATAGCTGGCGAGGGCTGCGCCGTTGGCCCCGTTCCTCACCGCTGAGTGGCCGGAGGGCCGGCGTGGCCCCGCCCTGCCGCCCGCCGATTGGCTGCGCGCCGCCGACGCGCCTGGTGATCCCGCCTCCCTGCGCGCGCGGCCACGTGGACGGCGGCGGGCCCGTGTTCGGCGGGGCCCATTGCACCGGCCATGAGCGTGGGCTTCATCGGCGCGGGGCAGCTCGCCTTCGCCCTGGCCCGGGGCTTCACGGCGGCAGGTGGGCGCGGGGCAGCTCGCCTTTGCCATGGTCCGGGGCTTCGGGGCGGGCGGCGCCGATCCTCCGGGCTGATGATCGATGCCGTTCGCAGGGGTCCTGGCTGCGCACAAGATCACAGCGAGCTCCCCGGACACCGACCTGCCCACCGTGAGCGGGCTGCGGGTGAGTGCGGACGGGCGACGAAGTCCGGGTTGCGGTGCCGCCCCCCGGGTCCCCGCGGACCTCAGCGGTCCCGTTTCTCTCCAACCGGTGCAGAAAATGGGCGTGAACTTCACGGTGAGCAACAAGGACACGGTGAAGAGCAGCGATGTCCTCTTCCTGGCCGTGAAGCCGCCCATTATCCCCTTCATCCTGGAGGAGGTGGGCCCCGACATCGAGGCCCGGCACATCGTGGTCTCCTGCGCAGCCGGCGTCACCATCAGCTCCATCGAGAAGGTGAGGGGGGGCCGGGCCGTGCGATGCCGGCCGTGAGCTGGCCCCACTTCTCTGGCCCCTAGGAACCGATGCAAGGGACAGGCATTACTTGTGCTCCTCAGGACTAAAGTCACGCAGCAGCAGCCAACTGGTTGCTTTCGGTCCCCTTGCCTGTCCTCATCAGAAAACGCTATTAGAGGTTTTATCCAACTCTTCCCTCACATAAGGTGCTGTCCGATCATGTTTCTCTCAACAGCAGTGGGTCATCACCCCTGAATTTCTGCTGACTTTATGCTAAGTGTCTGCAGGAGCTGTTTTGGAGACCTATGGGTTGATGTGGGAATGAGGCCTTTGGGATACTGTTCCCAGCCCGGCTCTGCCCAGGTCCCTCTTCGCTGGTACTTCCGAAGGCTTCACATTCATATATGGGCTGCTGTGGCTCAAAGCACGGTCTTTAGAGTACCAAGTCTCTCTTTTCCCTTTGCTTGTGTTGTTCTTGCCCATTGGGAGTTCTTTCCTGGACAGCCCATTGATGCTAAATGTGCACTAAAGCTAATTTTTCCCCTTATTTGTTTTCTTCCTACTTTCTGTCTCCAATTATTTTCTGCCCTAAGAAACTCTGTACCTTCTGCCCCACACCAAAAGTGATCAGGTGCATGACCAACACCCCTGTGATTGTCCGGGAAGGTGCTACAGTCTATGCCACTGGAACTCATGCAGATGTGGAGGATGGGAAGCTCTTGGAACAACTGATGGCCAGCGTGGGCTTCTGCACCGAGGTGGAAGAGGACCTGATCGATGCTGTAACGGGGCTCAGTGGCAGTGGCCCTGCGTATGTATGTGCTGTTTCCTCAACTTGTGACAGTCTCGGGCAGAGCAGTTGGCTTTGCCCACTGTAAAGCCTGTGAAAATTCAGCTTGTTATTTCTTGTTTTTCCCATCACTCACATTTGCAATGGGACATGTAGTGTGGGTATCCAGTTTACAACCATTTTGGGTCAACTGAAAAGGTCTGTTACCAGTCAGATGAGTCTGAAGTCTGAGCCAGTGTGCAGTGTCCATGTGTCCATGTTGCAAAACATAGGCCTGTAGTTAGCATGATGCAGAAGCTGAACTTCTCCCATTCCCCCCAGACCTGAGCTGGAACTAGTGGGAGGGAAGGCTGACATGGCACCCATGCAGTAAAGGGGGAGGCTTTTGTCAAGTCTGTAAGTGGAAGGAGTCACAGCATGATCCTGGAGCTCTGGATTCTCTCCTACCCGAGACTGTCAGTCCTGGAGCAGAGACTTGCAGTCATGTTCTTCCTCTGTCTGGTCTCAGGCGTTCACTGCCCTGGATGCTCTTGCAGATGGGGGAGTGAAGATGGGCCTTCCCCGCAGGCTGGCTGTTCGACTCGGAGCACAGGCTTTGCTGGTCAGTATTTCCTCCTCCAGAACAAATCTGAGTCTGTGCTTGCTCTGTGCAGAGGATTCTGCACGTCACGGTTTAGATTATCTTGGTCCTTTCACTGGATCTACATTAAAGAACGTGTTTGGTTTGACTGCACACAGATTCCCAGTGAGGGACCATAGGAAGTGTCCGCAGCAATCTGCTGGCACTGGTGGTGATGTGGGAGCTGGGGCCTGGGAAACTGTGGCTCCTCTGCAGGCTTCTTCAGCTCTGAAAAGTGTTTTGGCAGCCTGCAGGAGCCCAATTTTGTCTGCTGTGAGTGTTGGTGCTGCTCTGTGCAGTGGAGAACAGGAGTGTGTGACAGCGGCTTCCTCAGTCAGAGCTCTGGCAGCTGTTTTCCTTGCTACAGGGTGCTGCCAAAATGCTGTTAGAGTCTGAGCAGCATCCTGGTCAGCTGAAGGACAATGTCTGCTCACCCGGGGGAGCCACTATCCATGCCCTGCACTTCCTGGAGAGTGGTGGCTTTCGCTCACTCCTCATCAATGCTGTGGAGGCTTCCTGCATCCGGACAAGGTGGGCACCTAGGAAGTCCTAAAGAGCCTTAAAAACTTGCCCCCCACCCTCCCCATATTCCTTTTGCTGTCTTCCTCTCCCACCACCCCATTGCAGAGAGCTTCAGCATTTGGCAGACCAAGAGAAGATCTCCCCAGCAGCCATAAAGAAAACTTTGCTGGACAAGGTGAAGCTGGAATCTCCTTCTCTGTCTGTGACATCCGCTAGCAAAGTCAGTCTGTTCACCAACAAGAGCAAGAAGAACTGACCAGGCTGCCGTAGTCTGGCAGTGCTGAACATCAGGGTCTTGGCTCTGGCCAGGACAGGGTTAATTTTTGCAGTAGCGAGGAGGGGCATGGCCAGGACCCGGAGGTTATTCTATACCACCTCAATGCCATGTGCAGGGGTGAGGGGAAGGGCAGAAGGGTCCCTTCTGGTTGGCAGCCTGAAGCGAGCAGTCATTTCACATGGTAAAAAATCGTGTGCGAATCGTTCGCTTCTCCTGTACACTCTTATTAATATTATTGCTGTTGCTGTTTGTTTCTTATCTCACTGCTGTTTCTAGTAAATTTTTCTTATCTCAACCTATGATCTTTACATTTTGTGCCTCCAGTTCTCTCCAGCCTGCTGTAGCAGGTGGAAGGGGGAGTAAGCAGTGTGTGGTTTGGAGTGTTTCAGTGGAACACTAAATTGGGGAATAGTATTACTAAACAATAACAGTCAGTCTCCTCCATGCTATTTTTCTTTTGTCTTAGAAAAAATGCTCACTCTGAATGTTGCTGTCCCCAGTACCTGGCTCATGGCTTGCAGCAGTTGTGGGGCAGCGCTGTAGCAGAGGGTCTTTAGCCTGTAGTGGAGTTGGTGGAAATTGTCTCTGGCATTGGTGTTCTCTTGGACAGGGGTGATACCCTCGTCAGAGCTTTATCAAGGACACTGTTTGTCCAGAAGCCTCCCAGGACTCAAACAGTGTTCATGGTGTCCAATGCAGAAATGGTTTCTAACAGGATTTTTTAAGATGTTTCAGAACTTTTGGGTTTGAAGGTTTGAAGGGATCCACCTTCTTTCCCCATCCTGCACCTGCTGTCAGAGCTTGTGTCTGTGGTTATTGGCTGCAGCAGACGCTGCTACACAAACGGCGCCCTATGGGTGCCCTGGGGCGGGGCGGGGCCGGGCGGGGCGTGGCCGGGGGGCGTGGCCGGGCGCGCCCCCTCCCTCCCCGCGCCCCTGGCGGGCGCGCGCGGCCCCCTTAAGGCCCGGGGCGGTTGCGCCGGGCGCTTCATGAATGGAGCCACGTGACCCAAATATCACGTGACGCGTCCGTGAGCGGCGGCGGCGGCTCGCGCGTCCCGGTCCCTCCCAGCGCGGCCTCCCCGCCCCGCCCGGCCTGGCCCGTCCCGGCGGCCCCGGCAGGAGGTGAGCGCCACCGGCTGCGGCGGCGGGCGCGGCCCTGGCACCGTGCGGGGCGGGGCGGCGGGCCGGTCCCCGGGGGGCGGGCCGGGGCGGGGCGGGCGCGGCGGGCCCAGGATGGCGGGCGTGGCGGGCGCGGCGGGCCCGGGAAGGCGGCCGGGGCCGCCGCGTGTCGGCAGCTGCTTCGCGGGGCCGCTACCGCTGACTCACGGCGGGGGCTTCGGGGCCGCGCCCGCCTGGCTTCGCCCGACCCCTCCGACCGGGCCCCGCTCCGCGGCCGAGCAACAGGTGCGCGGGGTCGCTGGCCCGGGGCCTGTCACCGGCCCCGCCCGCCCGCTCCCGGGGCCACCCGCGGACATCACTGGCGCGCCCCGCCCCTCCTGCCCGCGGCTGCCGCCGGCCCCGGTCATCTCGCGTACCGGCTCTCCTCAGGCCGAGCCTGTCCCTCCCGGTGCCCGTGCGACCTGGTCCCCGGGCCCCCTCTCCCCGAGCCGCCTCCGTTCTCCGTGGTGGGTGAATCTCCTCCCGAGGAGGGCACGTCCAGGAATGTGAGGAGCCACCGGGTCGTCTCGTCCCGTTCCCGTAGCAGAGGCTGGGCCACAGGCAGAACAGCCCCCCTCCCCACGGCCGGCTCCTCGTCCTCGAGCTGCTCGGTAACCAAGGACGTGTGGCTGGGAGGTTCTGGCTCCTGTTCCGTGGGGGCTGCCTGGTGCTGCAGCGTCCCCGGAGGGGAGCAGGTTTCCTCTCCCGTTGGAAGTAAGCTACTCCTGTGAGGCTGCAATTCCTGATCGACACAGAGGGTCCAGTGGTGTGTGTGCACGGGTGGGTCTTACTGACCAGAGCTGAGGACGTCTCTGGCAGCCCGGGATACATGAGGTTCGAGCTACATGGTCGGAGGAGGGCGCTGCCGTGGGCTGGAAGGGGTCTCTCAGAACCGGCCCTTTCCTTTAGCTATGTGAGCAGAGTTAAAGTCAGCTGGATGGGCAGGTCCCTTGAGGGAAGAATTGTTGTCAAAGTGCCCAGGGTTGGATGAGCTCACCAGGGACCCCCAGTGAGCGGGGGACACAGGAGAAGCACTGTCCTGACTTCATAGGTGACTGGGGGAATCATGAAAGGAGACTCTGTGATCTAATTTGCCAGAAAGCCAATAAGTGGAGTATGAGATCTCCCCTGGGAGAGAGTGTTCCCGTGTGCTGTGCCCGCCCGGTGCTGTGGAGCCCATGGGGGCACAGCCCTCGCTCAGCCCACGGGCCTCCTGCCCGCGCTGGAGCGGTGACATCACCGTGTTTACACGGGCTCGTGGCAGGTTCTGCCATCAGGAATGTGGAGAAGGCCCCGCGTTGAACCGTGCGTGGTGCTGTCAGCTCTCGTGTGCAGCCGCTGAGCTGAGGGGAGAATTGGCTGCGCTTGTGCTGAGTTCAGGCCTTTTGAGCTTGGGAGAAATGTGTCGAGGCTGCAGTTTCTTCATTGCAGTCATAGTGTTTGGCACTTTTCAGTGTGATTTTTCTTCAGGAAGCTATGCTGAGCCATCAGCAGTCTGAAGAGTTATGCCAAGTTTGGTCCCTGCTGTGGTGCCAGTTCTCTCTGTGATCTGCCAAACAGCCCAGTTCAAATGGGACCTGGAAAATAGCCAGCAACTCTCTGAGTTGTTCTTCCTATTCTACTGACTGTCTCATGTGTTGCTGCATCTCATTTTACTCCCCTTGGGAAGTGGGACGAGGAGAGGTGGTCTCACGGGGTGCTTTTGGGGACAGTCCTGTTACAGCTATGATGGCTGTTGTGGGAGGCTCCTGCTTGAGAGGGTGTTGCATCTAAGAGTGCAGAGGCAGGAATGAGTCGATGCCTCTGCTGTGTCCGGCTCTGCCAGCATCTGCTGTTTCCCAGCCTGCTGAGGAGCTCTCTTCCCAGTGCCCTGCCTGATGCATCATATGCGTGCCTTGTTTATTTTGGGTCTGCTGTAATGAAGGCAGGGTGACTACTTGCCAGGCAGCTGGAAATTCTTTAGTGCCACAAGGCAAACAAATTCCCATGGTCCTGCTGACCGCACCTGCCCTCAGCTCCTTCTGCTGATCAGAGGATGGGGCATGTTATTGGTCTCCCCAGCTACTCCCTTCCTTCTCCCCTTTTCCCAGCAGCTGTGTTGTTTACCAGGTAGGAACAGAGGAAAGAAACATCGCAATTTGGGAAAGAGGGAAGAATTTATTTTCATGTTGCTCACATGCTGCCCATCCTGCCTCTTTGCAGCTGCCTTCCCTGGGTGGCAAAGTGACCCTGCCTGTGCTGGTGTGGTCGGGTGCAGCAGACGTCTCATGAAGGAGCATTGTCCTCTGGCTATAAATAGCCTGGCTCCTGGCAGGCCACAGGCTTTGGGAACAACTCTGCTGGTGTCCTGGGGACTTCTGGCCCCGCTCACCTCCTGTAGGTAGTAGATGCACTGTGGGGAGCCTGTGCCACCGCTGCTGGAAGAGCACAAAGTCTTATTTGCTGATTTGTACATCTGATTATGGGCTGTAACTGGACATCAGCGCTGCTGACAGCAAGGCAGGGGCAAATAAAAAATTGTTTTTTGACACCTGAGAGATGAAAGGGACAGAGGCACCTGTAGGCTGCACAGGAACACTGACCAGGGCTGAGGGGGTGACGGGTGCAGTCTGGGCTGAGGAGGGTGCAGTCTGGGCTGCTGAAGGCACAGCCATGTCTGTCAAATAGTATCTGTGTGGATCAATTCCTTGGTAGAGTGTAGTAGCACTCCGAACTAAAAAGCCTGAGAGGAGGAGGTATGTGGGGAAGAAGCAGGAGCCTGGGTATAAGTCTGTGTAAAATCAGCCCTGGGAATTGCTCTTACCAGTATTGCTCTGAAGTCCTGTAGTCTGTAGCAGGGAAGGAGTTTGCTCTCATCTGGTTTTACACCTTTAATCTGTTTTCTTGTGAGCACACCTTGGCTCTAAAGATAAGGAGAGAGAAGGTGGTTCTGGGCCCTGGCACTGCTAGAGACGAACGGGGACTTTCTTACAGAAAAGCCTGACAGCTAGGGACAGCTTTGAGTGACTGGGAGAGGTGAAGGCTGCTGAGGCATCAGCCCAAATTTATGATGGGACTCCAGTGTGTCCAAGGCTTTCCCTTGCCCAGGGTCAAGTCTTCTTGAACCATACCGGTTGCGTTCTGGGGGACACCTGGGGTCCGGTAGGACTGGGGAGCTTCTGAGCTGTGTTTGGGAACCTGTTGGAAGGGTGTGTTTGGGTGACAAGGATGAGGCTGGGAGCAAGTGGTGCAGAGTGCCAGCCTGCTGAGTCAGCATGACTGGCCTAGAGCAGCCGTGCTCTGGACCCTGCCTGCTGCCTGCCAGGCTATTTTTAAAAATGTGGCTTCCGTGTATTCTGACTCCTCCTAGTTTTTTAATTTCCCCCACCGCAAGCAAAAAACCAGCATTGCCACAAAGTCTCTGGGAGCAGGGGTGTGGAAGGGCAGCAGTTTCTGCTCAGGAACAGTCTGCTTCTCGTGAGTCCAGCTCAGCCGGCTTCTTGTCAAGTGTCCTGCGGGGAGGGGGAAGCAGGATGGGCAGCAGCATGGGCCATTGCTGGTGGACTCTGCCAGAGGAATGCCGTGGGCTCTGTTGTGTCCCGGGGGCTAACCTGGCCTTCCTTCCCTTCCAGAACCTGACTGTCAAGGCTGTCGTGTTATGACGACCCCCAATAAAGGAAACAAGGCCTTGAAGGTAACGCAGCGGGTGGAGGAAAGGGGCGTGGGGGCAGGTGTAGGCATCTGCCCCAAGTGTCACACGTGTGTGCTGCTTTCTCTCCTAGGTGAAGCGGGAGCCAGGCGAGAATGGGACCAGCTTGACAGATGAGGAGCTGGTGACCATGTCCGTGCGGGAGCTGAACCAGCATCTACGGGGCCTGTCGAAGGAGGAGATCATCCAGCTGAAGCAGCGTCGGCGCACACTGAAGAACCGGGGCTACGCAGCCAGCTGCAGAGTCAAGCGTGTTACCCAGAAGGAGGAACTGGAGAAGCAGAAGGCAGAGCTGCAGCAAGAAGTGGAGAAGCTGGCCTCTGAGAACGCCAGCATGAAAATGGAACTCGATGCTCTCCGCTCCAAATACGAGGCTCTCCAGAACTTCGCCAGAACCGTGGCCCGGAGCCCCGTGACCCCTGCGCGAGGGCCTCTCACCTCCAGTATGGGGCCCCTCGTCCCTGGCAAGGTTGCTACTACCAGTGTCATCACAATAGTGAAATCCAAAACGGACGCCCGGTCTTAGTGAAGCGAGTGCTGCCTGAGCTTGTCTGTGCAGGGCAATTAGGCACAAAACCAGCCTGGAATCCCCAAAGCACAAACCCTCTCCAAATGGGTCCAGGTTCCTTCGACTTGGCCCAGGACTGGCCCGCTGATAGCTCCAGTTTATTTTGTTGTGTCCAGATTGGTATGAGCAGTGGTGACGCGTCCCTTGTCCTGTGCAGACAGAGCCTTCCACCCAGCCGTCTGTAGCCCTCGGGTGCCCTGGGGATGGACTGTGAGAATTTGGTTTTCTACCCAAAGAAAGTCTGTGCAGCATGGCTGATGGAAGGGCGGGGGGGGTGGCCCAAGGGAGGCTTTCTTCCTGGGGGCTGGGAACCCTAATGTTGGTCACTTCCAAAGGCTTTATTTAATGACTATTCTGGGTGGTGCATCTCGGCACATGAACCTGCTGCTTTTGTCTCCTTTGGTACCCGTAGTTGCAGTCGGGATGTTCTGTGTCATAGGTTTTTATTCCTTTCTAGGTGTGCCTCTGTGCCCTAACCGTGGGTTTCCCTCAGATGTCCGTGGCATTAGCTGTGTAAACTGGCAGTGGTGGGAAGGATGACACTGCCGTGCTCTGCGGCTGCAGCCCCAGCGCCAGGGCCCTGCAGGGCCCCGCACCCTGGGGAGGGAGGGAGGGACGGTACCGTGTGGACTGCAGGCCGGTTTTGTGCCTAATGTGTTGCACTGAACAAGACCAAAATCACTAGTTGTTCCCATGTTTTGAGGGTATCAAGTGTCTCTAGTGTGATGGTTTACACAACCAGTTTATGTGGTTAAATAGCCCTTTATTTAAAGAGAGAAACATCATTTTAAGAGTTATTAAATTATCTAAGTTTAAAATTGGACAGAAGAGAGAGCGTATTTATAGTCAGCTTTTTTTACCTGAGAAGGAGAGAATATTTGACCATATGAATGGGGAAATATTCTCGGAGACTTTGCTAGTTAAAAGTTAATAAATAAATAATTTTAAAGTTTCTCATGAACCTCCCGCAAACTGTTTGTGGCTCTGAGGTTAGTTTTTATAAAGAGTTCTCAGACTTTATTTATAAAACTTAGAAAAAGACAAAAAAAGAGGCAAGTCCTGTTTGATATCTTTTTGCAATTGTACCAAAAGTGACTTATTCTTGACCTTGCTGGCTTCTGTCATGTCCCCTCATGTTGGGTGCTCTGCTCCCTGAGCTCTCTGCAGCACTGTGCTGGTGCCGGTGCCTTTGCCGTGTGCTGTCATTTCACACTGTCGTTGTTTTCCCTAAACTCGACTGAGAGATTGAGTTGGAATCTCTCTGAATTTTCCAGAAGAATTCTGGTGCGCAGGCAAAGGTGCTGCTGGTTTTGAAAGCAAAACTGGCTGGCTGGTGCAGTGATGCCTTCCCAGATGTGTGCAGTGAGAGCATGGGCAGCTCCTGCTGAGCAGCCGACGGCAGGTAACTTGGTTACCTGGATAGGAAAACACTGCACTGTCCTTCCTGCACAAAGCTGGCAGAGAAGTAACATGAGGGACACTTGTCTAGGTTTAGAAGACTGATGAGATTTATCTCTGGAATTAGATCCTGTGGTCAGAACTTGTGTTGCTCTCATGGCTCCCTTGAACAGGGGGGGCAGGTCTGCCCACTGGGCAGCACGGGACCAGCTGGTCCCTGGTGTCTGTGCATTGCTGGCCAGTGAGCTGTGGCAGGGTCACTGTCCTTCCTGGGGCAGCTTCTACCTGGGGGTTGGGAGAGTGCTCAGACTCACAGCTGTGACATGGTTGAGAAGCTGTTTGTGGTGAGGCTCCATTTCCACAAACACTTTGACCTCCTTCTCCCCTTCCCAAAGATTTGAGCTGATTTACTGAGTTTTAGAGAAACAGGACATGAGGGTGAAGCCCATGTGATCTCCTGGCTGCTGAGGGTCATCTGAGGGGAGGGGAGAAACTGGGATGGCACAACTGAAGCTGCAGTCTTGCGGGGAGGCACAGCCATACTGGGTGGGTTTTGGGGATGTTTCTCATGTTGCTGAACTGATACTGCTGTCCCCTGGGCTGAGGAGCAGATCAGCCTAAGAAAAGCTGCAGTGTGGCAAGAGGAGCAGGTAGTTGCTGGGGATTTCCTGCTGGAGGAGGAGATCAGCTTTGCTCTGAATGAGTGGGAGTTTAGGGAGTTGTTTGGGATTCTTTTCCCAGTGAACTTCCCGAATGGGGAGCAGGTTAGAACATTGCCTCCAGACTTCCCCCTTCCAGCCCTGGACTTTCTTTTCTCTGAGCTGAAGTATCTGACATGCCACTTCCAGCTGCACCACATGGGCCATGCATTGTGCAGTGCTCAGCATGGAGCTTTGGGCTCTGGCCTTTGTCTTCCAGCTGGTGGTGTGGTGCCTGGAAGAAGTGAGATTTTCCAAAACATAGTTTTGGAAAAAAATAGTCCTGGGTTGTCAGTCCCAACCCTGTCCCGCCTGGACCTGGCCTGAGACTGAATTGGCCAGAGCGCTTCAGAACCCAGCTGAGGCCTGAGCTGGCTGGGCCGGGTGAGCGGCAAAGGTGTGTGTGGGGCTGGTTCAGAGCTGAGCTCCTCAGCTGGAGCCTCTGGTTTGAGGAGGGCCCCATTGACACAGCAGGTGACGATGGGCAGCCCTAGGCCATGGAGGGCTTGCTCCCTTTGTGCTCTGTGGCAGGGAGCGTGTCTGGTCCTTCCCTGCGGTGCTGCTCTGCTGTGAGGCAGGATAGGGCTGGCAGCAGCACTGACTGCACCAGATGTTAATGCTCTTGTTCCTCCTGCCTGCACTGTCCTTGCTTGCTTGGAGCCCCAGCCTGCTCCAAGTGGGCCTGTGTGTTCGATGAGGACTTGCCATGTGGGGAGGAGCGGGTGAAGGCCATGGCTGAAGGGTGTGGATGTGGTAAACAAGCTCTGTGGTGCTGGGCTGGATGTCAGCGAGTCCGCGGTCCCATCCGAGTGCTGCTTCCCTATGGTTTCGCTTTTGATCTCAGTGAAGTGTAGGACCCCGAGTGTTGTATTTCTGCAGTGTCCAAGAAGTCTCCAGTCCCCTGCCAGCTGGCTTCCCGTGCCCGTGCGAGGTGGCCCTTGCCCAAGCTGTCATGCTGACTTCTCTCGTATATAGTGTTCTGGAGTGTGACAATTCTTGTTCCTGAGGTGCTCGTCCGTTTGGTTTCCTGCTGTGAAGGCTGTCGTGTTTTCTTTCTTTTCCTGGTGCTGTTCCGGGGGGTTGGGGAAGGGTCCTGGTCCTGCCCCAGCCTGCCCGGGGAGCGTCCCCGGCACCCCCGGGATTTGTGTATCTTGTGAATTGTGTACAGTCGCTCCCGGACGGAGCCGGGGCTGGCGGACGGCGGGGTCAGCCCGGAGGGCCCCGGGCTCGGTGCAGGCGGTATTTATTGCTAAGTTATTGGCGTTATTTATTCTGTACAGTGTCCGCCGCCTTTGTACGCGACAATAAACCGCTTCAACAGCCGCCGCCTGCGCGTCCTTTGGGGGCCGCCCGGCGCCAGGGGGCGCTGCCGCGCGCGGGGGCGGTGAAGGAGGCGGCGCGCGGGCGCTCCGGCCGGAAGGCGGAAGCGGCGGAGCCGAGCCCGGTAGCGGCGGAGGCGCGGCGGTTCCGGGCCGATGGCGGCGGGCGGCAGCCTGAGCCGCTCCGAGCGGAAAGCGGCGGCGCGCGCCGAGATCCTGCAGCAGGAGGAGCAGCGGGACCGGCGCAGACAGGTATGGCCCGGCCCGGCCCGGCGCGACCCGCCGTCGCGGGCCGCCGTGAACCACCTGCTGTGCACCGGGCAGGTGTTCCGCATCTGGAGGAAGCCGCCGGCGGAGCGGAGCCCCGAGGAGTGCCAGGTGCTGAGCGAGAGCGAGGACATCGTCCGGGAGCTGGAGCGGCGCCGCAAGCGGCGCGAGCGGCTGCGGCGGCGGCAGGAGGAGGTGGGCGGCGGGCCCGGGGGAGCGGGGCGGCGATGGCGGGGAGCGACCCCGGCCGCGGAGAGGAGCCCTGCGCTCCGGGCGGGACGGCAGCCGCCAGGCTGGCCATTGCGGGGGAACTCTGCAGCCGCAGCGGGCCTTGGTGAACAACGGCCGTGCCCCGGTACCGGGAACGCGGCTGCCCTCCCGGGGCTGCCCTGCGTTTGTCTCCGGTGAGCCGTAGTCTAGCGACTGCCAGGAGCGTGGCTGTGTGGGCACGTCTCCCGGGAGGGTGGGCCAGCAGGTCCTGGTCTCCAGGAAGCTTTTTCCCGTGATCCTCCATGAAAAGCACCCATATCCTTTTCATTTGGACACCACTGCTGATCATGTTTTGTTGCTTTTCCTGGGCCAAGCCCATCTTCAAACGTCCAGGGATATCCCTGTTCCTTCTGCCTCAGTGGTGCAGTGTATCTCCGAACCATGTGAACCTGCTCAGGTGTGTTTTTTCAGGTGTGTGATGAACCAGAGGAGCTGAGGAGAAAGGCAGCTGAGCTGGCGGCAGCTGTGCGGAGCGCCAGGCACCTCGTCATCTACACGGGTGCCGGGATCAGCACGGTGGGTTTTCGGGGGAGCAGCCGGAGCCCCTTTGGGGGGAGGGTGTTGTCTGGACTGTTCTGTGGTTCCTGAATGGTCATTGAGCAGATGTTCGTGATGAGTCCAGGATGCTGCGTGAGTCTGTGGCCAGCACAGTGCCTAGGCTGCATCCTGGTCATTCCTGCTGTCCAGGAGATCCCACTGTGTGCAGTACATGTGGCCTGAGCAAGAGGACACTGGTCATGCCTCACTTGAGTCCCTTCAGTGACTTTTGGTGTAAAACCTCCAGCCGGTTAGCTCAGGAACATCGTGTGTTATCAGACATGCAGGGACAGCTGGGGGGTTGTTGGAACTTACAAACAGCAGTTTGAGAATTGTTTGGTTTCAGTGGCCCAGGGGAAAGCAGAAGTTTGGTTCTGCCTCTTCTAATGTGACAGCTGTCACCTTTGTGTGAGCTGTGAAACTCCAGTCTCTGCTGACTCAGAGAGTGGCTCAGGGCAGGGGCTGAGTGCTCGTGTCACCCACACGTTTGCTAGAGATGCTGAGTGTGCAGTACCAGAAACCAGAGTCTGGAGAAAATAAGAAAAGGCTTAAGAATGGAGTTCTTTGCAGGGAAATGGGAAGTACCAAGGGTGAAAAAGAGCTCTGGAGGGATTCCATAATGGTAACATTGGAGAAAATAAATGCTGGAGGTGCAAATGAGAGTTGTAAGGTAGGAAAAGAGAGAGAGAAAACACATGAAAAAGTTTTCCTGTGATTAGGGAACCACTGTGATGGAAAACTTGGAATGAATGAAAAAGCAGCCATAGATAAGGTGTCTGTGGTTGTCCCGGATGGGCCCAGGTTGGTTGTGTTTGTGTACAAGAGCTGTGACCCCCCCACCAATCAGGCCTTGTTTTCTCTCCTGGTGACAGGCAGCTTCGATCCCGGACTACAGAGGCCCCAATGGCATTTGGACACTGCTGCAGAAGGGCAGGAGCATCAGGTGAGGAGCGAAATTCTGAGCTGTGTGGCAGAAAACTGATACTGGAAGAGGTTAATGGCAATTCTAACTCTTTTTTTTCCCCCTTGCTCCTTGTCAGGGCGGCAGACCTGAGCGAGGCAGAGCCCACGCTCACCCATATGAGCATTGCCTGCCTGCACAAGCACAACCTGGTAAGATATTTTTTCCTCACCTCACTCATGCCTAAGAATGATAAAGCAGGGAAGAAAAATCTTTTCAGAAGACTGCCCGACTATGGTTTTGACTCAAGTGGCTGCACATCCATGTAGGAAAATGTGTCTGAGTCTTCCTTAGTGAGCTCCAGGCTGCAGCTCTGGCAGTTTTTCCCCTGGTGCCTTTTCTTTAACATGTTGTATTTGTACCTGGTGAAGCTGGTCTGGCCGCAAACCAGCCAGCCCTAGAAAAGCTCTGTTTAGCAGGAGGAGGCTTTCCACTTAGCTTTCACAAAGGTCTGTTCTCCACTCTCTTATCCTGTGGGTCCCACTCTGATGTACAGGCTGTTGGTGTGATTTGGGACAGCAGATCACCTGCTTAGAGCGACACCTGCGGGGTCTGTGTGAGCTCAGCATTTTGTTCCCTTCAAGGTGCAGCATGTGGTGTCTCAGAACTGTGACGGGCTGCACCTGCGGAGCGGGTTACCCCGAGCTGCAATATCTGAGCTTCATGGGAACATGTACATAGAGGTGAGTGGCCAGAGCAGGACGAAGTCACTGTTCAGTGGCCTCACAAGAAGAGGATGTAAACTCTTGATTTGTCATTAGCTCAGGAGGAATTAGTACAAGGGCTTGGCTTCTGCACAGTTCCCATCTTCAGGCCATCACTTTGGGGTGAACTAGTTAGCAAGCACCAAACCCATTTCTGTAGCTCTTTCACTGTACTCACTGGAGCCTTCTGACTCCTCTTCCTCAGCCCTTCTCAGCACGTAGCCAAAGGCTGCCTGCAGCTCCACGTGCTAGTTGAGGTTTTCCAAGTTAGCATCTGATCTCTGATGATCCCATCTATAGCTTCCAGCACACTGTCCCCAAAAGTGCTTTTCGTCTGAGAGAAGTGGCTGGCTCCTGGCCTCTCATTGGAGAGATGCTGATGATGTGATGGGTTTTCTGCTTTTGTCCTGTACCAGGTCTGCACTTCCTGTACACCCAACAGAGAGTACGTGCGAGTGTTCGATGTGACGGAGCGCACAGCCCTGCACAGACATCACACGGGCAGGATGTGCCACAAGTGTGGGGCACAGTTGAGAGATACAATCGTCCACTTTGGGGAGAAGGGGACATTGAGACAGCCCCTGAACTGGGAAGCAGCAACAGAAGCTGCAAGCAAAGCAGATGTGATTCTTTGTCTGGGTTCCAGCTTAAAGGTAACTTTAGACACTCGGTGAAGATTGTTAGCAGCATTCCCTCTTGGTGATACACCTTGGTGCTCAGCGGTTTCCTCCCAAACAGACAACTGTAAACTCTGGTGTCAGGATTCGCCCACCATCTGTGATAGTCTCTCTTCCTCCCTCTTTCCCCTCCTGGTAATACATTCCTTTTCCTCTCGCTGATACGGTTCACAGTGGCGTGTGCCCGTGGCTGTGCTGATCGTCTCTGCTTTATGGCAGGTTTTGAAAAAATACCCACGGCTCTGGTGCATGAGCAAGCCCCCCACCCGTCGGCCCAAGCTGTATATTGTGAACCTGCAGGTGAGAGAGAGCCCTCGGCACTGGGCTTAACAGCTGTGGGCCAAGGGGCTATGTCTGTGTGAGGCCGAGCCCCTGCTGCTGCCCCGGGGAGGTGCCTGCAGCCGGCTCTGCTGTCACCCGCAGTGGACCCCGAAGGACGACCTGGCTGCCCTGAAGCTGCACGGCCGCTGCGACGACGTGATGCGGCTGCTGATGGCGGAGCTCGGGCTGGAGATCCCGCGCTACGACCGGTGAGAGGCCCGGGCCCTGCGCGGCGGGAGCGCCCGGCCCGGGGCCGCCGGCAGCGCCCACCGCCGCCCTCTCTCCCCCTCCGCAGGGCGCGGGACCCCATCTTCGCGCTGGCAGAGCCGCTGCGCCCCGGGGAGGAAGGCACGCACTCGAGGAAGCCGGTGGCGCCGCCGCGGGAGGAGGCGCGGGAGGAGCCCCGCGAGCAGCCCCGGGAGCGGGAGGAGGCGGCGGGCGGGCGCGCCGGGGGGTGGCTCGGCCGCGGCTGCGCCAAGGGCGGCCGGCGCAGGAAGAGCCGCTGAGCGCGGGGCGGGGCGGGGCGGGGCCGCCGGTGACAGCGCGGCCATGCTGCGCAACGGGGCGGCGGGCGGCGGCGGGGCCGCGACGGGCGGCGGCGGCCACCGGCCCGTGCGCGTCTGGTGCGACGGATGGTGAGTGGGGCGGGCGCGGGCTCGGCGCTGTCGCGGAGCCGCAGAAATAAACCGTGTTGGCTGCGCTGGTGCCTCCGGCTCCTCTGTCACCGCGGCGGGACGGGGTCGGGGACGGGGTCGGGCCCGCGAGAGAGCGGCACCTTCCCCTTCGAG